ATTAAAAATGATAATGTAGGTCTGACGAACAGATTTAAAGAGACAGAACACAAAATTGAATTACTATCAGGAAAAAAATGTGTTCCACAGAGAGAATTGAAAAATTGGAACATAATGTGGAAACATTTAGCGAAAAACACGGTTTCATGTTTGATGATTTCACTAGCAAATTACAAAGACTGGAACATAAAATTGAAATGCTAGCAGAAAAGCATTGTTCCATGTCTGAGAACAATGATAAACTAACTGATAGAATATCATTTGTAGAAGGCAGTTTACATGCTATTGAGGTACTTGCTAAGGATGAGAATATTAGAAATTTGGAATCACATGTAAATGATGAATGTAAAAAAATGAAAGATTCCATGACGTCCTTAGAAAATTATTTGTCCCAAGAACTTCAGGAGCTCAGAGAAACAATGATGAATAGACTGCAGGATTTAGAAGACACTCAATCTGATACTTCAGAATCAGAAATACAGGCAACAGGTCAGGAAAGGAGTTTCCCAAAGCTTCTCAAATGCCGGAATGATTTCCCTAAGGTTGCTATGCGTTCCCCTATGGTTTTTCCGGTATCTGTAACAGAAAAACCAGCAACGAAAAAACAATCAAATGGTCCCATTGCTTATCACTGGGAGCCTATACAGATGAAGGATCTAAAAAATATTAAGGAGGCCATTGTCCTGTATGGTCTTCATTCTCCCTTTGTCAGAGAGCTCCTAACCTCATGGGCTACTGTAAATAAAGTAACCCCAAAAGACTGGGCCCAATTAGCCTCTGCAGTGCTCGAAAATTCTTGCCAAATTCAATGGAGAGCTTTGTGGAGGCAAGAAGCAAAAGCAATTGAGATTCAGGAATTGCAGAAGGGTCATGAAGTACCCCAAGACAAGATTCTTGGGGAGGGTCCTTATGCTGACACGCAGGTTCAATCTGCATATGACGAGCACATGTTGTCTTTGTGCCGTACAGCTGCTTTAAATGCCTTGGATAAGGTTTGTGAAACAGGAGAGATAATGCAACCCTACACCAAGGTATTACAGGGCCCAAGGGAAAGGTTCACTGAATTTTTAGAGAGATGATCCAGAGCAGTAGAAGTACAGGTAGCGAACCCAGAATCCAGGCGTCTTCTTATAGAATCTTTGGCGTATGAGAACGCGAATCCTCAATGCAGGCAGGTAATTTGGCCATTAAAAATAAGATCAGCGCCATTGGAGGAATGGGTCCTACATACAGCGAACCTGGAATGTAAAAGTCAGGATACAGGAGCTTGGGTAGGTGAAGCTATTTCTACAGGCTTGAGGAGGCACCAGGATGCCAAATACCCTACCTGTGATGATATAGAGGCATGGGTAGGGAAGGCAATCTCAAAGAATTTAAATACGCGTAAAGATGCAAAATGCTTTAACTGTGGTAGAATAGGACATCTTAGTAGGAACTGTAGACAACGCATTCCTAGAAATAATGCTTTTACCAGGAATGCATCAAACAGAAAGCCTAAGCCTCCTGGTCTATGCAGGAGGTGTGGGAAGGGGCGCCATTGGACTGATGAATGCTTTTCCACAATAGACAGACAAGGTAGATCTTACAGCAGGGAAACGGGGTTCCGGGGCTCAATGGAGCCCCGAAAAGGAAGATTATCCGGTCATTCCCAGTGACAGTGGAGGACAGCCTCTCCCAGGACAATTAGAAGATCCACTGCCCATTGTAAATAATATGGCACTGGATAATACATTAGCTCCAGAGGATGAATCAATTACATCAGGAGGAGATACAAAACATATATTTTGGCAAACTTCTATACAATATTATAGACCCAAACTTCCGGTTAAGGTAAATAATAGGGTGATTTACGGATTACTGGACACCGGAAGTGACGTCACTATCCTTAATCAGCAGTCCTGGCCACATAACTGGGCTTTAAAAGAGGTTAATGTTCAATTCTTTGGGATTGGAACCCTATCTGAAGTTAAACAGAGTGTAAGATGGATTGACTTTATTGGGCCAGAAGGACAGCGAGGAAGGTTAAAGCCATATGTTGCAGATATTGCTATAAACCTCTGGGGTCGTGATCTACTCCAGCAATGGAATACACAGATTAACATTCCTCCTGTATCAGCTAGGAATTATAGACAAGCTCTTAGTGGTAGTAAGAATATAGTAAGCCAGTACAGAAAACAGATGCCAAATGTACAGGCTGTACAGAAGCAACATGCTAGTGCCAAACCTACAGAGCAACCGAAAGCTCTACCATTAAAATGGCTGACAGATGAACCCGTCTGGGTGGGTCAATGGCCTATGACATCTGAGAAGTTAGAGGCTTTGAAGAAGTTAGTTCAGGAACAGCTAGATGCTGGACATATTGAGGAATCAATTAGTGCATGGAATTTGCCTGTTTTTGTTGTCAAGAAGAAGTCTGGTAAGTGGAGAATGGTTACTGATCTTAGAGCGATCAACAAGGTAATTCAGCCTATGGGGTCTCTACAACCTGGGATGCCGTTACCTTCTCTAATTCCTAAGGATTGGCCAATTATAGTTATAGACTTAAAAGATTGTTTCTTCACCATACCGCTACAAGAAAACGACAGATAAAAGTTCGCCTTCACAGTACCTACCTATAATAATTCCCGTCCGGTACAGAGATTCCAGTAGAAGGTACTACCTCAAGGTATGTTAAACAGTCCAACTTTGTGTCAATATTTTGTGAATAAACCTCTAGAAATAATTCGTAAAAAATTTCCACATTCGTTAATATATCATTATATGGATGACATATTATTGTCTGATTCAAATAAGGATACTTTGGAAAAGATGTTTGAGGCAGTAAAGGAAATTTTGCCTCGCTGGGGATTACAAATTGCCCCAGAAAAAATACAAAGAGGAGATTCTATTAACTATTTAGTTTATAAAATATATGCTCAGAAAATTAGACCACAGAAAGTACAGATCAGAAGAGATCGTTACCAGACTCTTAATGATCTTCAAAAACTATTAGGAGAAATCTCTCAATTACAGACGATTATTGGTGTAGAAGGGCATGATTTAAAACACCTGAAAATGGCTTTAAAAGGAGATAAAGACCTAAACAGCCCACGAGTACTATCAGCTGAGGCTGAAAAAGAATTAGAATGGGTAGAAAAGAGAATATTAGAAGCACATGTGGACCGTGTGGATCCAAATCTGGACTGTATTCTGGTTATTTTACCATCTAGAGAATACCCCTCAGGAATATTCATGCAGAGGGACGACATCATTCTAGAATGGGTATCCACTTCCTTGACTTCACCTGATTCGACTGGAGGCATCTGAACTGCCCCACATCGTTGACTCCACCTGACAAGCACTATCCTGAAACTGGCTTGAAACTACATCACTCTACACAACTCCGGACCAAGAAACTGAAACAGCACATCTTCTACAATCTGACCAGAGCTTCAAGATAAGAGCTTCAATCAACACTAGAACCCTAGTCAGGAACTTCAATCAAGCATCTCCTGCCATACTGAGACTGTCTGATCTACTGAGATTTTGTTATACTAACATTTTCTTTTCACAGGTCCCCATGAGATTATCATCGTCCCATCTCAGCAGGAAGTAGTTTTGAGAATTCCACGCCCCCTCTCCCTACTATTGATATTATAAGATAGTACACCTGGTAGTGTTAGTTTTCAATTATTTTAGAGTTGGAATTGGAAGGAGGTGTTCATATTTGGGTGTTTCTTTCAGATAAGTTTAGGTTTAGATTGAAGTTTGATACATTTTGTTCATGGACACAAGTTAGTTGTCCTTTTTTAGACTAAAAGGGGAATTGTAGGAGGAAGTCTGATGCCGCCATTAAACATGTGACTTATTAGAGGCGCATACAGATGAGGTAATAAAGGGGCGGTTTACCACACCGCTAACCACACCCACTTTAGGCAGGACTAAAGACGTATACGGCTGGACGTAAAGACGTATACGTATGTAGGCGGAACTACGTCACTAGCCAGGCCCACTTTTGGGCATGGCTAGGGGCGTTACGGGGGAAGGCATAAAAGACAGCGCACAGGAAGTCTTGCTCTCTTTTCCTGGAGTTCGGCTTCCGGTCCGGCCGCTAGCTGAGAACTAGATCCTCTGGGTTTGGTATCTTGTGAGTAATTTTCTACATAAAATACTTAGCGTTACTGTCAGTAATTGTGTGTCGCGTATAGTTACAGCGTCTGTTGAAGCCAACAGTATGCCTCTAATTTTCTTCCATATGCTGTGTCTCTATGATACTAGTGTTCTTCATATGTGGCACAATTTTGGAAGGTGAGGCACATGTCTCCTGCATTTCTGTATTTCATCTCATTCAATAAAGTCTACTGGGTAAAGGAAAGCTTCTGAAACATTGATGAGGAATGAATATATTTCCAATATTCATGATATGTTTTCATTTTCTTGTAAACCAATACTGATTATATAGGCTAAGTAGAAATCAATGCTTTTTAAATATAGTATTTAATATACCAAACAGTCTTTATTTCTCAGGTGGGAAAGGAGAAACAAATTCTGGTGACAGAAAAATGAATTAAAAACACACAAATAGAAAAGGAAACTCCTCCACTCCATAACTATGAGCCATATTTTCCTTACAATTTCCTATATATATTAGGAAAGTGCTTAGCAGAGTGTCCTTAAGAAAGATAATTGCTTTCGGGTAAACTTCAGAGTGTATTCTTAATGTCTATATAATGGTTTATAATGAATAGCTAATGCCCTTGATAGAATACACTACAGTTTATTCCAAAATAAACTAAAATATAGATTAAAAAAGGAAACATGAGGCAAGGTATGCTGTACTTCTGCTTTCCATTTTTCATCCTTCTATTCCACAAGGAAGACTAGAATTTTAGAAATTGTTTGTAATATCAGCACACATTCTGTTCTTGAATATGAAAACAATCTGACCCACCATCGACCCAGTTTGTTAAATTTTGTTGGATATATCATGCATAGCATATGTGTTCTTCCACAGCATCATCTTGGCAGGAGAAAGAACTCTGTGTAAGCAGAGTTGGATGTTTTTCAAAACTGTCATCCCAAGTAGATTTACAGTCACTGAGAGACTCATCATTAAATTGATCCAGTGACCTTATATTTGGAGTATTCCCAAACTGGAGCTCTCAGCCTAAGGTAGACCAGCATCAAAGAGCAATTAAGGGTAAGTAACATGATTGGATTCTGACATGTGGGGTGAGAGTTCAGGAGAAAAGAGTTGAAATGCTGATGAACTGGTGTTAGGTAGTTTAGACCTCCCTGAAGAATGATTTCTTCTATGCAGAACAGTCGGAGAGTTCCTCAGTTGGATCAGCTGGCAGCCACATTAACACAGTTTGAGAGTACATAAACACCACCTGAGGATCTTGTTAAAATGCTGATTGTGTTGTACCAGGTCTGTGAGTTTTAACCATCCGCCCAAATGATGCCAGTGTTATTGGTCCTTAGAATACAAGCTGTTTTAAATAGCCAGGGCTCAAAACTGTGTTGTCTAATAGAGGGCTCAATGATGATCTTGAGTACTGAATTGAGATCACAAGGTAGGAAGAAACAGGAAATGCAATGTGTCAGAAGTCATCTTAAAAACAAATGTGGCGAGAACATGAGAACAAAATGAGACTAGTTAAGTAGGGCAATGATCCTACAGCAACAGTTACAAGAATGTCCTTGATGGACACAGAAATGCCAAAACAGAGTTATGATTTGTGATTCCTTGTTGTTTCTTCTCCAAATAAGCACCCTTATATCGTAAAACTACTGGTGATATTATTATCAGAAATGATGAGGAACCTGGATATCTCCTGGTAGTTCAATCTAACCTGACTACCTCCCATATTTTATTTCAGTATTGGCTATTAGTCTTGTGTAAAATTCCCAGACTAACAACTCAGTGGTACAGCATTTTCTGAAACCTGTTCCTGCTAACATTATACCCACCTGATATATTACTAAAACAAAATTTCTTCTTTCTAAACTTCATCCCTCTGTGATCCATGAATTTTATCCTTGGAATTTGTGAGACAAGCCAATGACTCACTGAAAGTTTTATGTGACCGTATCTGGTACCTAGATTCTCAAATTAAAGCCTACATGAGGAAAAGGGGCTTCCATCTAACAAAGTGGCATCCAGCTTTCCAGCTATCAAAGTGACTCAGCAGAGGTCCTTCAGTTCAAAAGGCCTGAATGAGCTTAAGAATAAGAACTCTGTGTTGGTTGTGTTTGTCATATTATAGGCCATGCATAATCTTCATGAGTGTGATTTTAGTAGATTTACTAAGTACAATGCCTGAACAAGAAAGTAGAGAATGAAAAGATTGAAGTTATTAAAGACTTACCTCAGAAAGAGTAGAAAAAATTATATGACAGGGTGGAGGGAAAGAGGGTTAAAAGAAGATTTTGCATTGGTGTATGTGTTTATATAGTGTCAAGAACGATTATGAAAAGGGAGAAGCTGAGGTACAGTATGGAGACAAATATCTGGCAGAATTCATTCCTTGAGGGGTCAAGTGATGATAAAGTCCAGTGCTAACTTTAATGTAGAGAATGGAAACAAGAGAGGCAGAGTATGTGAGAACCATTCAGAGTCATATGTGAACTGGATTCTATGAAAGACAGAGGCTCTCTTTGTTGCTATTTCCTCTCCAAAGAAGGTATTCGCAGAGAAAGATGAAGAGGCTGTGTATTACTGAGCTGATTAAAATGAGGAATTGCAAAATAGTTGTTTCATGACAAGAAAGAGAAGGAAGAGAAGGAGGAGGAAGTAGAAGTTAATTAGGCAATTACAAAACTCTCAGGTCTCACTGAGGTTGCACTTGAGGGGAGGTGTCATGAATATAAAATGGGATCACTCATCAGGTTTTCTTTCTTAGTGTACAACTATTTAAGAATGGGCACGGAGAAGTTAAATAGGACTTGGACTTTTGTTCATTAATTTTGATGCAAAAAGATACAATAGATAGTAATGGCACAAATGGCATTCTATTTTTCCCAATTTTCATTATTCACATAAATAGGACTACAACTCCTGACCCTTTGATACATAATTGCAACACCTGCCATTATTACTGCACCATTGACCTTGAACCCAGCTAAATGGTTTGCTTTGACCAATGGAATTGGAATAGCTGTTACATGAACAGGCTTTAACTATGCCTACATTTTTTGACTAATTCTATTTGTTTTCAACTAATACCAGTGAAAAGTCTGCTACTCTAGACAGCCACCTGTTCCACAGTAAAGGAAGATGATAGAGACATGAAGCAAGGCTGTGCTGCAGAGGTTCCCCAACATCCTACAGATGCACAACTCATAAACAGAGACTCTTGTCATCATACATAGAAACACTGGATCATGTTACACAATATTTCTTGAGAAATACACGATTTCTGATCTTGCCAGTGATAATATGAAGGTGTCACCACAATGAAGAATGGAATATTATCCAGATAAGGCAGGGAGTGAATTGTTGACAGAAGATAAAGTATCTGCACTTGAAGTCACATCAAAGAGTGGGCTATGTTATGGTATGAGAAGATGTGATCTCAACATATAGGAAGAAGTGGTTCAAGAACAGGATAAGTTAAGATTTTAAAGGGCTTAGGAAAATGCGATCTGAATTAACCTAGCTTCTGGTTCATCATTTATTTTTTATTTAAATTAGAAACAGGCTTGCTTCACATGTCAATTCCAGTTCCCTCTCCCTCCCCACATCCCTTGCTCCTGACCAACTACCCCTGAACCCACACCTCATACCCCCTCTGCTCCCCAGGGAGGGTGAGGCCCTCCATGTGGGATCTCCAAAGTCTGTCATATCATCCTGGGCAGAACCTAGGCCCTCTTCCATGTGTCCAGGCTGAGAGAGCATCCCTTCATGAGAAATGGACTCCATTCATACTTTTGTGATAAATACTGATCTACTACACAAGGCCCCATAGATTGCCGAGGCCTCCTCACTGACACCCACTTTCAGGGGGTCTGGATCAGTCCTATGTTGACCTCTCAGTCATAAGTCTGGGGTCCATAAGCTCCCTCTTGTTCATGTCAGCTGTTTCTGTGGGTTTCACAAATCAGGTCTTGACCTCTTTGCTCATCACACTTCCTCTCAGCAACTGGGTTCCAGGAGTTCAGTTCAGTGTTTAGCTGTGGGTGTCTGCCTCTTCTTCCATTGCCACTGGATGAAGGCTCTAGAATGGCATATTAGGTAGTCATCAATCTCATTGTGGAGGAAGGGCATTTAAGGTAGCCTCTCCACTATTGCTTAGATTACCAGTTGGTGACATCCTTGTAGATCTCTGGAAATGTCACTAGTGCCAAATCTCTCCTCAAACCTATAATGGCTCACTCTATTATGGTATCTCTCACCCCTCTCTCCTATATACTTTTCCCCATTCATGTTACCCCATGTCCTCCTCTCCCCACATCTCCCTATTTTTTTCTCCCAGCTCCCTCTCTCCTCCTCTGATGCTCCCAATCCGCTCAGGCTATCCTGTTCCAATACCCTTTTCCAGGGTACCATGTATATCTTTCTTAGGGTGCACCCTGTTTCCCAGACTCTCTGGTGGTGGGATTGTAAGTTGGCACTCCCCTGCTCCACGAATAAAATACATATATGAGTGAGAACATACCATGTTTCTCTTTCTGTGACTGGGTTACCTCACTCAGGGTGATTTCTTATAGTTCCATCCCTTTGGCTGCTAATTTCAAGATTTCATTGTTTTTGTCTTCATTGTGTAAATGTACTACATTTTCTCTATCCAGTCTTCAGTTGAGGGGAATCTAGGTTGCTTACAGGCTCTGACTATTACAAATAATGCTGCTATGAACATAGTGAAACATAAGTCCTTGTTATAATAATGTGCATCGTTTGGGTAAATGCCTAAGAGTGGAATTGCTGGGTCTTGTGGCAGACTGATTCCCATTTTCTTGAGGAACCACCATATTGATTTCCAAAGTGATTGTACAAGTTGGTATTTTTGATTTTAGCCATTCTGACAGGAGTAAGATATATCTCAGAGTTGTTTTGACTTGCATTTCCCTGATGGCTAAGGATGTTGAGCCATTTTAGACTACTCTATTGAGAATTCTCTATTCAGTTCTATATCCCCCTTTTTAATTGGATCATTTGGTGCTTTGGAGACTTGCTTCTTGAGTTCTTTATAAATTTTAGAAATCAGGCCTCTGTCAGATGTGTAGATGGTAAATATCTTTTCCTATTATAAGTTTTGTCTTGTTGACTGTGTCCATTGCCTTACAGAAGCTTTTCAGTTTCAGACGTTCCATATATTATTGTCGATCTCAGTGCTGTGCTACTGGTGTTTATGTTCAGGAAGCAGTCTCTTGTAGTAACTAATTCAAGGGTACTTCCAGTTTCTCTTCTAAGAGGTTCAGTATGGCTGGATTTATGTTGAGGTCTTTGATCCACTTGCACTTAAGTTTTGTGCATGGTGATAGATATAGATCTGTCTGCAGTCTTCTACATGCCAGCATCGATTTGTGCCAGCACCATTTGTTGAATATGCTTTCTTTTTTTCGTTGTGTGGTTTTAGTTTCTTTGTCAAAGATCAGGTGTTCAAAGGTGTGTGGGTTAATATCAGGGTCTTCAATTTGATTCCATCGGTCTACCCATCTATTTTGTGCCAATACCAAGCTGTTTTTGTGCCAATACCAAGCTGTTTTAATTACCATAGCTCTATAGCAGAGCTTGAAGTCAGGAATGGTAATTCCTCCAGAAGTTCCTTTATTGTACAGGATTGTTTTGGCTGCCCCGTGTTCTTTTGCTTTTCCCTCTAAAGTTGAATATTGTCCTTTCAAGGTCTGTGAAGGATTGTGCTGGTTTTTTATAGGGATTGCATTGAATCTGTAGCTTGCTTTTGGTAAGATTGCCATTTTTATGTTCATCCTATGTATCCAAGAGCATGGGAGATCTTTCCATTTTCTTGTATCTTCCTTAATTTCTTTTTTAATGATTCAAAGTTCTTGGCAAACAGGACTTTAACCTGTTTGGTTACAGTTACCCAGAGATATCTTATGTAAAGGGGGATGTTTCTCTGATTTCTTTCTCAGCACATTTTTTTTGTATATATAGAAGGTTTACTGATTTTTTTTCAGTTAATCTTGTATCCTGCCACTTTGTTGAAGGTGTTTATCAGCTGTAGGTGTTCCCTGGTAGAATTCTTTGAGTTGCTTATATAGACTATCATATCATCTGCAAATAGTGAAAGTTTGACTTTTTCTTTTCTAAGTTTTATCCTCTTGTTCTCCTTTTGTTGCCTTATTGCTCTAGCAAGATCTCAAGTACAATATTGAAGAAATATGGAAAGAGTGGACAGACATGTCATGTTCCTGATTTTAGAGGAGTCCCGTTGAGTTTCTCTCCATTTAGTTTGATGCTGGCTGTCTGTTTGCTGTATATTGACTTTATTATGTTTAGCCATGTTCCTGTTATCCCTGATCACTCAAAGACCTGTATAAGTGGTGTTTAATTTTGTCAAAGTCTTTTTCAGCATTTAGTGAGATGATCATGTGGTTTTACTTTTTTAGATTGTTTGTATGGTGGATTGCATTGATGAATTTTCATGTGTTGAACCATCCCTGCATCCCTGGAATGAAGCCTACTTGATCATGGTGGATGATTTTTCTGGTCAGTATTTAATTGAGTATTCTTGCATCAATGTCCATGAGCGAGACTGGTCTGTAGTTCTCTTCCGTAGTTGTGTCTTTGTGTGGCTTGGGTACCAAGATTATTGAAGTCTCTTACAAAGAGTTTGGTAATGACCCTTCTGCTTCTTTTGTGTGGAATGCTTTGGGGTGAATTGGTATTAGTTGTTATTTGAATTTCTGGTAGAATTCTGAATGGATCATCTGTCCCTGAACTGTGCATTCTTCAATTGCCATGAGTTTGTGTGGTTTCTGCAATTTGTGTTGTTGTTGAATTATATTTTTGAGCCATGGTGGTCTGATAACATATAGCGGGTTATTTCATATTTTTTGTATTTGTTGAGGTTTTTCATTGCTAAGTATGTGGCTGATTTTAGAAAAGGTTCCATGTGGTGCTGAGAAAAAGGTATATTCTTTTGTGTTCGGATGAAATGGTCTATAGATGTCTATTAAATCCATTTGGGTCATAACTTATGTTAGTTCCTTTGTTTCTTTGGTAAGTTTCTGTCTGATTGTCCTTTCCAGTGGTGAGAGTGGGGTGTTGAAGTCTCCCACTATAAGTGCACAGGGTTTAATGTGTGATTTGAGTTTTATTAATGTTTTACGAATGTGGGCACCTTTGTATTTGGGGTATACATGTTCAGAATTGAGACTTCATCCTGATTGGATTTTTCCTGTGATGAATATAAAAAGGTCTTCTTCCTCTCTTTTGATTAATTTTAGTTTGAAGTCTAATTTGTTAGATATTAGGATAGGTACACCTGCTTGTTCCTATGTCCATTTGATTGGAAAATCTTTTCCAAACCCTTAACTCTGAAGTAATGTCTGTCTTTGAAGTTGAGGTGTGTTTCTTTTATTCGACAGAAGGATGGATTCTGTCTTCATATCCATTCTGTTAGCCTCTGTCTTTTATAGATGTGTGAAGACAGTTGATTTGAGGGATATTAATAATCATTGATTTTTAATTTTTGTTTGTTTTGGATTCATTTTTGTTGGTGGTTGTTTCTGTCTTTTGGTAAAGTGAGATTATCTATTGTCGGTGGTTTTGTGAGTTTAGTCAACTTCCTTGGGTTGGAGTTTTCCTTCCAGAATTTTCTGTCATGTTGGAATTGTGGACATGTATTTTGTAAATCTGGTTTTATCATGGAATAACTTGTTTCTCCATCTATAATTATTGAGAATTTTGCTGGGTATTGTAGTCTGAGCTGGAATCTGTGGTCTCTTAGTGTTTGTAGAACATCTATTCAGGACTTTCTTGCTTTCAGAGTTTACATGTAGATGTCATGTGTAATTCTGATATGTCTACCATTTCAGTTTTCAGGTCTTGACCTGTTTGAATTATTTCCTTCATCTGTTTAATTGTTTTTTCTTGGCTTTTCTTGCTTTCTTTAAGAGATTTGTTGATTTCTTGCATTTTTTGGTTTGCTTTTTCTTCTATTTCTTTAAGGGATTTTCTCATATACTCTTTGAGCATCTCTATCATTTCATGTGATTTTTTAAGGTCATTCTTTTCTGTTTCATCTGCATTGGGATGTTCAGGTCTTGTTTGTGTAGAGTCCATAGACTTCGGTGGTGTCACACTCCTTCTCCTGATTGTTATGGGTTTAAGGCTCTATCATTTCTTCTCTCTCTCTCTCTCTCTCTCTCTCTCTCTCTCTCTCTCTCTCTGAGGGTGGAGGGACAAGGCCAGAATCACAGCCAATGAAGCTGGCTGCTTTGTGTTGCCTCCAGGTCACTCTGTGGGGTTTGGGGCCTGGAAGGGTCTGGTGGCTGCAGGTCAGGGGACTCAAAGAGGGGGAGGTGGGCTACAAGAGCTCATATGACTCAATTCTCAACTGGAGGGTGGAGGAGCAAGAAAGGACCCTCATCACTTCTTATACTAGATGTTTCTTTTTGGTGGCTTAACTTGGTGGTGGTTTCAATTCCCAGGTCAATTTTCTTTTTCTTTGATACCAAAGTTCACTTCCTTTTGATCCCTGTACCTGGCAAAATGTGCCACATAGATCAGATGCTTAAAAAAATACATTGTTTGTATGAGCTAAGAATTTCCTAGGCAACCTAATTAAGTCCTCTTCCTAAGTCATAGATTCTCTACCTATGGGTCATAACCCTCTTGGCAAAATTCTATCTCCAAAAATATTTATATTACAATTCATAACAGTAGCAAAATTACATAAAAATAATTTAATGCTTGTGGGTTGTCACTATCAATAAGAAACTGTATTTAAGTGTTGCAGCATTAGGAAGAATCATTGTCCTAAGGCATGTTTTAAAGTCAACTGAGGCCTTCACTAGAAGCCCCAGGCTCTATTCTAGCTGATTTTAGTTAGAATCACTGATTGGAACTCCATATCAGCATTCTCAAGGTTTCCAGATGATTCTTGTGGGCCACTAAATTTACAAACCCCTCTGAAGGAAGGTTCTAAAAAGTGTTGCTTATGATATAACTGCATTCTATAATATGTGGTTTGGAAGGCAGGAAGTAGCAAGTGTTGCTATAGTAACCCTCATGTCACCATATTTGGAATATTAACTATGTCCCTTTACCTTTCTACACTAAAGACAAAGATGACATGTAACTTCCTTTTCTTCTGAGGGATTTTGCCACTTTCTTGTTTACAGTACATGACCCAGGGCCTGAAGCTTGGTTTCATTGGGTTTACATCCAGTTCTGCTTCTAAAAAGCTACATTGTAGACAAAGCAATAACTCCCAGGAATTGCATCTGAAAGCAGAATCGAATCTTCATAGTTTGCATTACCTCAAGTTGTATTCATCACATTGGAGGTGACAGCCATTTAGGCTAAACTTGAGAAGCATTTACAGCTTTGCTTTCTTACTTCTTACAAGGTACCTGGCAGCTGGTGACATTCATTAGGCGGTCTTAGCTGATATGTGCCGATCATAGAGGCCTGGAACAAAAAGGTAACAGAAGCCAAATTTTCCTTTTAGTACTCTTGGGTTCTCTTTCAAGGGGAGCTTGAAGATATTCTGTATTTGCAATATGTTAAAGGGATCTAAAAATGGGTAGTACAGAAAATACTCAAAACATCAAGGAGTTCTTTGCTATTTTTGATGTTTCTTAATTGTCTGGTCCTCTAGTATTGTTATAATATATCAAGTATCCATGAGCTATATGACACTATTTCTGGGGAGACTTGAACAGACATCTGATTGCTCATGCCAGATAGGAAACTGATGTCAGATCAAAGTAGGATTATCATCAAAGTCCATATTGATAAACTAATGAGTTTTATTGTGGTAACTTGCAAAAATATCAGTAAAGGACTCCATTCAGAAGTAGAAATAACCCAAGATAGCTGTCCCAACAGGAGTGACAGTTTATGGCAGGTGCAAACCTGCCATAAGTGTACTGTATATCCTACTGATAACTCAACAGGTTGGAGAATATGCTTACCAGGTAACTCAGTTGGTCTGAGTCTTTTCCAGGGAGCTAAGTTCATCTCTGCCTCTTCCTGACAGCTCTGATAGTCTTTGCTTCGTCTAAGCAGTCCAGCTGCTCTCATGTTTGAGGAGGGAGGAGCCTAGTGGAGGTGATCAGTTTTGGTGATTTCCTGGAGACTCTGAATTGCCTGACTTCTTATCTTAACAAACATCACTGCAGTATAGAATATTTAAACTTACTTTAGAGCATCCTATGAGTTTACCCACCTCTTTAATATCCTGTGTCTTAAGGAGCTTTATTTAAAGATGGGAGGGTTGAATTTTGGAAGAAATGGCTACAAATAAACACCCAACCACATTATTTTAAGCCAGAAGAGCTCCTCCCATGCAAAACTGATGGAATTCCCTCAAGCCTGTAATCTATGTATGCTTTGTGGTGAGCTGTAATTAAGTGAATTCAGTGGACATGTCACATTCCAGCTGGGGCTTTTGAGAAACTTCATTTACACATTTCCTCTCTTAGGTTTCCCAAGTTTCCTGTTGGAGGATAAGACTCATATGTCCAAGCACAGATTATTATAGTAGAGTCACCCATCCTAACCTCACACCTGTATGAGAGACTGGTCATGAGAGCAGACCTCAAACGAACCTGTAGATCAATCAAGACATATACAGTTGCTCAGTTGCTATCATAGACTCAGAATCAACCATCCTTACCACATTAACTCATAAAGTTTTGAATTTGTTGCCACATATCAGTATCTCCCTGATATTGTCCTCAGTTTTAATTTCTTCAAGAGAAGGGTTAGCAGGCTGATATCTGAGGCACTGTGCTTTATCTGAAGCTATGCCCAACAATTATCTGTGGCCGTCAATCTAGCCTGTTCATTTTTATGACAGACTGAATCTGAAATTATATGATCAGTCTGGATTCCTACTTCTATGCTTTTAAATTTCACAAGTTGTTCTGATCACAGCTTGAAGGAAAAGGCTTCTTTGGTAGTCTTCTTCTATCATCAGAACACATGATTCATCCATAGAAAGCCCTATTTTAGTGTTATAAACCATAAGAAAGGCCAAATAAAATCAGAATAATATTATGTCATCCTAAAAATGAAATGGCCCTGTAGTCAGAATTTTCCTAATAATCAGCAGTAGCTTCCCAAACGACTCACTTGGGGACTTAGTATACATTATAAGTGCTTTTTCAATAGCTCAGGCTTGTTACTAACTAGCTCTTACAATTTAACCCATTTCCATTAATCTATGTGCTTTCCTGAGGTTTCTGGTTTTTACCTCTATCCTATTTTGTGTGTCTAATTCATTCTCCATCTGGCTGGTGACTCCTCTGACTCTGCTCTTCCTCATCCTGTCATACTCAGTTTAGCTTTCCCAAATAAACTTATCCTTTTCAGTTACTGGCCAGTTAGCTGGTTTATTACACCAATCATAGTGACATATATTCACACAGTGTACAGAAAGATTATCCCATAGCAGAGCCCAGACTCTCTACTCTGTAGAAAGAGTATCCTTTGCCCTAGCATTTGTTTTCAGGAATCTATATTTCTCTATCTCTATGTTGGCTTGAACTTATTTATTTTTATTTTGTAAAGATTGGATATCCTTATATAACTAACAGAATTATTGCATGAATTTAAGAAATCATCTTAAAATGTATGGCAGAATGTTAACATGGACTTCAGCTGGCCTGAGCTGAGCAACCTCAGGGACTGAAGATGCCATCATTGATCCTGCATGCTTTCTCTTCTTGCCTTTCTTGCTGCTACAACTCACTGATCTTGTGATTGTATTCTCTGTTTCATTTTCTTCTTTTATTTTCAGACTGACTTCCTTTAATTTGTTCATTAGCCCACACAGACCTTTCAGAACTGGAAGCATTAGTACTGAAATTCACCTAACATTATGGCTGCATAAAGCTTTACATCTTTGTGGCCTAATTACAAATTACCTCTGGGAAGACCTCTATCATTACAGTTCAAATCACAGGTCCAAATCAGGTCAATCCAGCTGAGAGGGAGAGCTCTTTCCACATTCTGGAGGGATGCCCCTTCTGCAGCTAGCTGTCCAAGAACAGATGCATTAAACAGAAGGGTAAAATTGAGGGGAAGTTATTCACGATTGTAATAAATGACATTTATAGAATCATATATTTACATGGGTGCATCAGATAAACACATAGAAATGTTCCACATTCCTATTTTGAATATTTAATATTCGATCTTACCAAATCATAGCTCAGTTTTTAGCTTCATTGAGATAATTGAAAAGATTGTATATATGTGATGGCTTTAATAAGAATGGGTCATATATGTACATATATATGAATATTTAGCTCTCAGTCATCAGGGACCGGAATTATTGAGAAAGATTGGGAACTGTGGCCTTGTTGCCATAGGTGTGTCGTGCTGGAAGAAGTATGTCACTGGGGTGGCCTTTGAGGTTTCAAAGGGTCATAATAGATCTAATTCTCTTCCAGCTTACGGGTGAGGATGTATCTTTTGTCTGTTTCTCCAGCACCAAATGTGCCTGCCGCATTCTTCCTGAGGTGAGCAGCCTCCCTAATTAAATGATTCCCATTATAAGATGCCTTTGTCATGATGTCTCTTCATAACAATAGAACAATAACTAAGACAATATACAAAATGATGATTTCATATATTTTACACTGTAATTGTCACAGTCAGTTGGTCATCTCACTTTCATTTTGGAGTGAACATTTAAAATATATTCTGTTATCAAACTGAAATTTAAAATATTATTATATTTTTAACTGTAGTCATAATGTTATACTATAGACTTCTAGAATTCATATAAAGGATTCTAATGGTTTTTACCACCAACTACATGTTCACAATTTTGTGAACCAGAAGGAATGGATAAATGGATAAACATAGAATCTGCAAAATTGCATCATGAAAAAAGGACATTCTGAATATACTGATAATAAGGATATATAATAAGGAATTCAGTAATGAAATCTCTTGTTAAAGAAAAATTCAACATCTGATAGCATCAATGATAAATTCTTCTAAATATTACAGATACAAATTGAATAATATATTGTAATATTAGTATTGTATTGTAACCAAAAAGAGACAAAGGCACTTACAAGAAAATTGCAGACTATCATCTCTTAAGAGCACACAGACATAGAAATCCTCAGTAAAATACTAGTAAATCAAATTCAGAAGCACATAAAAAAGGATCATATACTATGAAAAATGATATCTTCCCCCAGGATTCAAGGATGGTTCAAATTACTCAAATAAATAAATAAATAAATAAATAAATAAATAAATAAATGTTGAACACATTAATGGAAAGAAAAGCTAACATTAAAAATAGTATCTTCTGGTTAAGTGAAAGAAAGTATTTGACAAAATTCAATGCTTTTTCATGATAAAAAACTTTCATAAAAGGCCAAAATCTTTTCATTAAGATTTAAAGTGCATTTATATTCCAACTCTCATCCCTCCTATTAAGCAAAGTTCTAGAAATCCTAAGCAGAAGAGCTAAGAAACAAAATGAGAGAAAAGCTTTTATATTAGAAAAGGAATAAGTTAAGTTTTCACTCTATGCAGATAGCTTATATATATGCACATATATAATATGAATGTAGTAAATGTCTAGAATAAAAGACATGCACACAAAATTATTTTATATTTATCTTCATTAAAAGCAAATTATCTGAAAATGAAATAAATTATATTGCCTACAGCATTAAAAAGAATAAAATAGTTAAGAATAATTTAACCAAGTAGGATGTAATTGATGAAATAACCCAAAGAATGCACATATAAATGGAAAGATACACTCAAAAGAATGGACTTATTTAACTGGTCATACTAACTAAAGCAACCTATAGAATCAGTGTAATTCCCATCAAAATTCCAAGAGAATTTGCCACAAAATTTAACAAAAATATTTTAAACTGTGTAGAGAACCTTACTAGACCCCAGAGAGCAAAGCAAAAGCCTTGAGAAAGAAGAATAAATCATAATTTAGTTTCTATTTTTAGCTATAGTACAGTAATTTTTAAATTGCAATAATTAGAACAATATAAAATAGACACAAATACCTATATCAAGAAAGTTAAAACCACTCATATATTATCAGTTTGCATAAGATATGAGATCTAAGAACACAGTGGAACAATTGTTGTTTCAATAAATACAAAGAAAACTAGTTACTTACATGTAGGAGAATGTCTTTGAACTTTAACCTCAGCCCCTCTCACTTTCTGTCATACAAATCAACACAAAATAGATTGAAGACTCAGATATAAATACTAGACACTGTTAAATTCTTGAAACAAAACACTGAGGAAAATGATCCTTGGCATTGGTCTTAACAATAACACCCAAAGATCAAACAATACAAGCAAAAATAAATGAGTGTGGACACATAAAAAAATCAAAGATTCATAACATCAATAAGAAAGGAAAGCCTGGGGAGCAGTAGAATATGTTTGCATGCTTGCATCTAAAGATAAGACTTTAAAATCTAAAGTAAATAAGAATTCCATACAACTCAGTAAAGGAAATAATTATACTAAAAACTAAACGAAGAACTAATACAGTCATTTTTCCCAATCAGATATGCAGGTCACCAAGAATTGCCCTGAGATATGCAAATCAAAGCCAAAAAGAAGTACCAGTTCCCACTTGCCAATATTGCTGCTTTCAAATGAACAAGTAAAAAGCATTGCTGTTGGGAATGTATGGAGAAAAGTTAAATGGAAATAACATTAGAAGTAATGTAATAGTGTGTAGTATCCTTAAAATATACAAACATTGTTTCATCTAATAATATAGTTATAGTTTCTGAGTATATAACTGAAGGAAAAAGATCATTTGAAAAAGGAGTCTGCAGTCCCAAGTTCACTGTCTCACTTAAAATTATGAAGACATGGTAACAATCTAAGTGTCCATTGACAAAGGAGTAACTTAGAGGGTGCCAGAAAGCGAAGAAAAATACTACATGCTCTCTTTCTCCATCTCCCTGTCTCTTGGTCTTCACCCTGCCTCTCCCCACCCTTCAGCCAAACCAAGAGAAGTGGAGCAGAATGGTGGTTGCAAGGGACTGGAAAGTAAGAAAAGGGGAAAACGTTCCTCAAAAAGTAGAAATCGAATCACTGTTAAACGTAATTGCTGGGCTGGAGAGATGGCTGAGATTAAGAGCACTGACTGCTCTTCCAGAGGTCCTGAGTTCAATTCCCAGCAACCACATGGTGGCTCACAACTATCCGTAATGAGACCTGTGCCTTCTTCTGACCTTCAGCATACAAGCAGACAGAACACTGTGTATATAATAAACAAAATCTTTAAAAAAACGTAATTGCTTGCATGTTTTGAGAACCCATATAATTCAGGTTTCTGTACAGAATAGCAACATTTGTCTTGAACATGCAGGTAGTCTTCATTTCTCAGATATAAGTCTAACAGCCGCTTTGCACATTTCAGACTTTAATATATACCTTCACTTTGCAGAAAATGTAAGGAGTCATCGAAGAAATGACTGAGAAACAAACACAAGCCCTAGAGGAATAATTTTATCATCAGTCTAGCTAACCTGTTTCATAGTTTTATACCCTTGAGCAAGGCATATGTGAGAAAAGAAAGGATTTGGCTGGTAAATTGTAAAGCAGAGAAGTAATTACTATTTTGCTACATTTGTTTAGAATGCCCTTGTAAGGAACTTGGATCTACGGCATCACTGACTATAGTCAAGCACTTACAATATAAGAAACCTTGTGTTTAAAATTAAAGAGAGCTTAATGATTTTTTTGTGCAGCTTGATAAAAGTTTTAGGAAATTACAATGGCCAGGCATGACCTCTGATACGTTGGAAGTTTTTATTTTAGTAGGAAGTGGATATTTTCCAGTTAGTGACATTGGAAATTGTCCATTATAAACCATGATAGAAAATCACAAACAATGATGGAAAATTACAAACAGTTTTGAGGTCATAATGTATAACCTGTTGTAGTAATAAGTGAATGATAGAATGTCAGAAGTGACACTGAATTGGTGACCTGATGGAACTGAACAACAGAAACTCTAGATGAGGCAGAGGAACCCACATATGCATTAGTCTCCTATGAGAGACTGATATAACACCAGAGAGTAAAAGGAGGTAAGCATAGCAGTGTGAGGGACAGAGGACTTGTAGCTAAAGGAACCTGGGAGAAAGGCAGTCCCAGCAATGGGCAGGGCCTTGTGCTCTGTATGCAGTACAGCTCCCTTTAGTATAAGAACAGGAAAGCACTGAAATAATTTAAACAAAAAAGCAGCAAGACCAGGTATTCTTTGTAAAAGAAGAAAATTCACTGTGCTATATTGAGAATGGTCTCCTCAGAGACAAGAAAGACATGGACAGAATAGTTAAGAGGCTTGCTTCTGGAAATATAGTCACAACAAAATGCTTGCTATACAAATATGAGAACATGAGTTTGGATCACAGTATCCACGTGAAAAGCTGCGTGTCACAGTAAGTGCCTATAATCCTAGTGCTGGTGAGTCTGAGACTGGAGGATTTCTGATGTTTGCTGGTCACCCAGTGTAGTAGAACCAGTGAGGTTCTGGTCAATGTGAGATCCTGTCACAAAAGGAACAAAGCATAAGGTGGAGCACTATTGAGGAAGAAGGCACCCAAACTCAACTTCTAGCCTACACACACACCCACACACAGCGAGAGAGAGAGAAAGAGAGAGAGACAGAGACAGAGACAGAGAGAGAGAGAGAGAGAGAGAGAGAGAGGTCTGTAGGGGCAAAACGGAGTGCCCTAGTTGTCCTAGTTGTAGTCGTAAAAGAAAATATGACAGCCTTGGAAAGTATTTCTAAGGTAGAGTTGGCAGAATTTATGATGAATTGGATAAGGAAAATAATATATTAGTTGTCACTATGACCCTGATCCTTCCCTCTGCTTAAATGAGCCCTGACTCCTGTTAATAGACACCCTCAAGAGTTTTGTTTACTATATAACTGATGTATCCTGTGTTTCTCCACTTGTCCAGGTACCAGGTCAATAGAAGCCAAAATTCCAGTTTGAGGTTTTGAAGCCTGGAACTAAGCTTTACTATTTCCTGTGGTTTTGTTTCTCTGTGAAAATATGCCCGAAGTGGCCTGCTGAACATGATGAATGCAGGAAGGAGAGTCGAGATGCTCAGGCATCCCAATGGAGCTTGATCTGGATCAATAGACCAACATTTGGCACATAGCCAAAAGAATAAGCCTAGCCAAAAGCCATACAGGCTTGCAGCAGATCCCTATCTGCCTCCTGGTGTGTGAGCAATGACTACTTTTGTATTATGCCACTGAGGTTTTGTGTGTGCAGCATTTTGGCAAAATATAAACTGAAAAATATATTTGTAACACAACCTTCTCTTATAGAGTGAATACTTTTGGCCCCCAATTTGTTTATTAGTGTCCCGTGCTCCAGTGAGATGATATTAAGGAGTTGGGGTTTTGAGAGATACTTATGTCAGGGGGATTGGGCTCCCAGGAATAGGATTAATGTCATTAGAGGAATAAGCTGGTGAAAAATGATGTTTTTAGTCACCATTTCAGGTAATAAAAAGTCAACACCATCTGCACACTTGTAAAATAACCCTTTTCAGAAACTGGATGCATTGGCATCCTGACTTTGGGCTTCCAAGTATTCTTGACTGTGAAAAATGAGTGTTTATAGTTTAAACTTCACGGTCTATGAAATATTGTAAGCAACTGAAACTGGCCAAGACTTCATCGGTAAAGAACTTCCATCATAGCAGAAGTCAATGTAGTATTCCAATGTAGTATTCTTAGGTATTAGGAAGTCAAAGAGTTAAGTTTTGATGGGAGATTTCACCTTTAAACCTCCCTATGACATTGTGAGAAAGTAATCAACATTACTCAATAGTTGGATTAATGGATGTGTCTGTCCTTATTTGTGGATGTTCCTAAGAAAGAAAATTCTAAAAGGGTAGGTTATGCTTTTGAATGTTTGTCGTCATTGTGGTTTGTGGGTTTTTTTTCAACCTAGCTTATCTCTGGTGACAAAAATGCTTCTTTTGTTCAAGCAGTTATCACTCTTTAAAGAATGCTTACAAGATCATATAACATAGCAATGCAGTTTTAAAAGATTAAGTTGGGAAAATCCTGTTCAGTGGAGAGCTTCTGGTTGGCTTGCTTGTCTAATGGTTATGTCCCACTTTTGGACTGTTTCAGAGAGTTACAAAGAGGAAGCCACCATTGATGGCAGGATCAAAATAGTCCCAACAGTGGCATTGCCATTTCAAAGTCACATCTCTTCAAAGGGGATGAAAGCAGAAACTGAACAAAAACTTCTTTCCTGGAGTTTAACCGTGCAAGGATGGCAGGGATGGATCAGGCCGCTTACAGGCAGTCCTGACCCCTGTTTATGGATGTTCTCAAGAGTGCTCACATTTAATTGCTGCTGCTAGGCAAGGGGTTCAGAATAAATGCCTCTGTCATGCAAGGGATTGCTATTCAGAGGAATAAAAATGCCTCCTTAACTTTCTTTCTTGAACTTTGACTGTTTGTTATTATTTTTAAATGTTTTCAAATATATTCTTTCTGCTAGTATTCAAAAGACTCACCATAGCTCCTTGGTTAACTTACTAATGTAGATCTGAGATGGGCCTGAGAGTCTCAATTAGTAGCAACCTCCCAGGAATTGAAGCTTCTAGTGATACATGCACCATGTGTTAAATGGCATTACCTTAAGGCAGGTACTCCTACTTACAAATCCAAAGAGAATCCTGAAAGTCTTCTTATATACAGCCTCTCTTCTCTTCTCCTCTCCTCTCCTCTCCTCTCCTCTCCTCTCCTCTCCTCTCCTCTCCTCTCCTCTCCTCTCCTCTCCTCTCCTCTCTTGTCTTCTCCTCCCCTCCCCTTCTTTCTTTTCTTTTTTCTCCTACTCATTCTCACTCCCTCTCAGACTCTCTCCTCTCTGCTCTATCTACTGATTATTTTAGTTATCTCATGTAAACTCATAACTGTAGATGAATTATGCTAGGTTAAATGATGCAGTTATTTCTAATAATATACGTACAAACGGTGATTTGGTAAGAGGCACAATTGCATGTCCTTCCTCCCCTGCATCTCATGCCTTGTGAAATTGCACTGTCAATCATTCTGAGACATTGAAGAAGTCCAACTCTAGAGAATATGAAGGTGTTGTTAGAATCCTTTCCATACCTGCATTTGACTGCTCAGGAGAAGGCAGCTTAACCCTGCACCACAAAAGAAAAGCCACGGGAGGAGAGACAAGGGCTTTGTCCTGGATGAATTCACATTTTCCACTGGCTGGCATCCAGCATATATGGGAGGCAGAACAGTGTTGTGCCCACTTGGCTGCAGACTTCCTTGGTGAGCATTAGCAGAGCTATGCATTTTCCCCAGTTTTCCCTATGACACTAATAGTCTGAGATGTGACAAAGAGTGCAGGTGGGAGGATGAAAAGTGATTTCTGGCTCCTGTTTTTCTCTCTTAATTTTCAATGTAATTATTGTGCATTTATAAACTAAAAGTGAGACTCTTACAGAAAATACAGACAAGTAAAAGAATGAAAGGAAAGAAGGTATGACCTCATTCTTTAGGGAAAAAGCTGTAATTTCTTTCTTTCTTGTGTTTTTAGGACAAAACAAAATTTCATGTTTTTTTTGTAAAATTAACATCCTGCTATACAGGGTAACTGCTTTCTTTTTAGTAATATGTTGGACGTTTTCTCCTATCATTAAATACTGCTAATGCCAAGGTTTTTAATGCCACAAAATTTTCATCTTTGTCCCTTATGATAATCTAAGTGTTAAAATCTGCGTCATGCCCCCACAACCCCATCATCATCATCATCATCATCTCTCTCTCTCTCTCTCTCTCTCTCTCACACACACACACACCCACACACACACATACACACACACACTACACATTCTGCACCTCTTTGCCTCTCTTTTCTAATCTCTTACATATTTTTCTGCTTACAGGAAAATGAGAAATAATAACAGAACAAGGACAAAGCTCAAATGTAAGGCATTTTAAAATGATGGAAACAAAGTTTGCCTGAGAGATGTGCATATTTGCTCAAGCCAATGTTTTAAAGGGGAACAGGAGAAAAAGTCTGGGGCTCTATCATGTGAGAAAGCAGAGGAAGCTCTAGGAAAACAAACTGCTTAGAGAGGAGGCATAGAGGTTATCTGCTGTGTTCAGTCTCCCATCCTGGAAAAGAGTCAGCAGAACCAACAGAAATAGACCGACAATGACTAGAAGCATCACGAATTCTAAAAAATAAATCTGAATACATATATGTGTTTAGTAAAATAAAAAAGTATGGGACGGTAAAAGGCAAATATGGATTGGCAAAATTATTTGAGTTAATAAAACAGCCAAATAGTAATCCAAGAAATGTAAAATAAATCTTTGTTATAGAACCAATGCTTTCAGTGATATATGATTTTAATTACATCATCAAAAGATGGAAAAGTAAGAATAACTGAATTTCATATGAATAGTGTATATTTCTTACCTCAATACATAATATGATTTTTTCAGCACATGATGCCTGTAAAATTACTGCTAGATTAATAAAGGACCCAGAGACTGATATTGGAGTTCAAGCTTCAAGCTGAAGATCAGAAAAGCAAAGCAGTTAGTCACCAGCTCTTATTCTACCTCAGAATGAAAGGTGATCCTGGCTCCACCAAACCTCAGACTGTAACCTCTCCTCAGAGTGGCTGGAGAATCCTGAGACTTCAGTGTCTTCCTGTCCACAATGTGTCTGGAGAATTAATACTTCCTATCCTCAATGTGGCTGGAGAATGAACGCTTGATATTGATTATTGAAGTTCCTGCTCCTGTTTTATACCACTCTAGTGCTGGCATTAAAGAAGTGTGATCCCAGGTGCTGAGATCATCTTTGTGTGAGTTGTTTCTCGTTAGGGCTTAATCAATCTGGTGCAGATCTGAGAGGTCTTGGACTCACGGAGATCCGAATACCTCTTAATCTGGAGTCCTAAGATTAAAGGTATGTACCAACACCTTCAAGCCTCTGGTTTCTTAGATTAAAGGTGTGTATCACCACTGCCTGATCTCTATGGCTTGAGGCTGACTTTGCTTTCTGAATCCTCACGCAAGCTTTAATAAATCATAAATAATATTTTACACATAAAATTATTGGAACATTTTATATTTTTTTGCAAAATTTTAAAATACAGAGTATATAGCATGGAAAGGGAAGGTAGACATGAAGTCCTACTCCTAGTTAAGTCCTACAGAGAGTCAGTGCCCTTTCAGAGTGTGATCCCCAATCAGTCAATTAGACTCCAGTGGAAGGCTACGCATCCAACATTATATGGCAGGACAAATTTGATTTAATGGGTTTAAAAGAAAAAGAAAAGAGCGTGACACAAAGTTGGGTGAATATGAAGGGAAAGCATGGGTCTTGAAGGAACTGGGGGAGAGAATGATAAGAAAAAAATACCCTTACAATGGGGGTTGCAGTATTGTTCAATGGTTAAGAGCACATACTGATCTTGACAAAGATAAAAATTTGGTCCCCAGCACTCATCAGCCACCTATATTCAGTCTCAAGGGATTCAACATCCTTTTCTGGTCTTCCTGGGTACCCATACATAAACAAACAGAAATAAAATTTTAGAACGTATCATGTACTAAATAATAAAAAAAAACTACTAAAAAATTACAAGCAACAACAAAAGCAAGCAAACAGCCCCCCTAGGTGTGTTTTACATGTACAGACTGCACACCATAGTGTATGCACAAGCTGGAATACACAAAGCAATACTACTGTCATTGCAGTGTCAATATAATAACTTGTCACTGACTGAAGATGGAAAGCATGGTAGCACTTCTCATTTTATTTTTACTTATTTATTTATTTATTTATTTATTACTACAAAGTCACAATAATAAAAGCTAAATGGTATTGTCACATGTATATACAGGGGACAGAATAATACATGTAAATATAAACACATACAATTATCGCTACCTAATTATTTTTTACAAAGAGTAAAAAATACACATTAAAGAAAGTATAAGTTTTTAACATGTGGTAATATAAAAACTGGAATGCATATATAGATATAAACTTACAAAGTATAAAAAACTCTAAGACAAGACTTGGTATTCTAACCTTAACTGCTTTTACTGTACAGGAAGGAAAGGACATAAGCTAATTGGAACTACCTACAGAATGGTGGAAAATCCTGCTAATTAAACATCTGATAGAGGATTAATATCTAGAATACACAAAGAGCTACAAAAACCTCTAAATCAATAAATAAAATACTGATCTGGGCAATCAACACTCAAGGCATTAAATACAAATAGCTAATGATTATATAAAAATTCAATTTCATTTGGCATCAGAGAAATACAAACAGAATTCCATCTTCTCTTAGTATGAATGTCCAGTTATTAAGAAAACAAGACAAGTGTGGATGCTTGTGAGGGTGTTTACCAAAGGGTACTCTTAGGCATTGCTGTGAGAGTGGAAACTAGTCTAACCTCTATGGGCTAGAAATATTTCTACTGTATGTCTCACTTATACCAGTTTTGAGTGAAGGACTCCAAGTCAAAATATCAAGTCAGACAATGCACATTAAGCTTATTGTGACACTGTTCTTAAGAGATATGCTATGGAGCCAACTTAAATGCCCAACAGCAGCAGATTAGGCAGTGAAAATATGGCATAAACATGACGGGACTTTTTTCAACCATAAGGAAGAATAAAGTTACGTCATTTAGGAAAATGCATACTAATGGAGACAAAAGTGAGTTTAGCCTACTTCAGACATATATAGTGTATTTTAGTTCATTTTTTGTTCCTAGCCTAATATAGTCACATAAAATCACATATGCATATACTAAATAAAAGTACAGTGATATTTTATATGGGGACAAGGGGTACTAATATGGATGAGAGAAAGATGAAATAAGAGAGGGTAGTAAGGAATGGGACGGTTTATATGCACAAAAATACCACATATTGCCTGTAAAATTTTAATATGGGTGGATAAAGCATTTTATAAAGATTTTTATAAAGACTTGAAGCCAGTTGTAGGAGAGAAGGCAAAGCAATATAAAGAAATCACTACTAGACTGACAGCTGTCTTTACACAGCATTAGCCATAGCAGTATCTTAACATGGTAGAAGGAAATCCCTGACACATGATGAAAACATGCCTTGAGGGAGAACAGTGCTGAAATAAAGACATTTTCAGAGCAATACTGGAGAGTTTATAAGCATTAGACCCTTACAAAAGCCATAACAAAGAACACACTCAGATAGAAAATAATACCAGATATTATACCTGTACTGAAAATGAAACTAAACAGTAGATACTGGCTATATCTGTGAATGTAAATAAAAACTGACTAGGTATAAAAGTCAGAATATCACATTTGTGAGATTCAGAAACCAAGGTGAGCAAGGTGGTGACTGTGTATGCCTTTAATCCCAGTATTAGGAAAGTAGAGGTAAGTGGATTTCTGTAA